CTCTCTCTCTCTCATATTTAGTAGTGGCAGCATCAACTATGTATTTGATTATATCATGCGGGTGATTACGCTGAACATGCATACATATCCCACCCACGATTGTTCATATTGGTTAGCCAGTCGTATGACGCGTGCTTTTTATTGAATATCCGATATACAACATTAATATACAAACATACATGTATATGAGCAGCACTATCAATATATATGAAATAATAATTATTTCTTAATCATCATATATGAAGTTTTTGCGCTTGAAAGATTTCTTCTTTTTTCATGAGGTTTCATAGTCTCTCTTATAAATTCACTTAAACATGATCTCGTAATCACTTGATATATCGAGATGAACTTTAGAATAGTATACATGCTGATAGTTATTCCTAATCTTTTTTTATTCATTCATTCATTTTTCAACCTCTCTTACTTCATAGTCTCTCTAATCTTTTCACTTAGGATTCTTGTCAACTAACACGCACATACATTTAGCTAATTTCATTGATTGTTGTCGCCTTCATGTCCCGACAACATAAAAATTACGTAATACAGATGGCTAGCACGCACATCACATACAGGAACTTGTCCTTATTTGAAACTCTAGCCTTGTATGGTGATTGTGGTGTACCATCTGTTAACTGTATCTGCTTTATTTGAAGATATGAAGAAAAATCCAATAGGAAATATAAATGTGTATACGTGGTAAAAATTTGAAATCTTTTTTCAATTAGAAAATCTTGTCGATAAACTGTGAACTTTCGTATTTCAATTAAATCCACATGCTATCGAAAAAAGAAAATGAAAACGAATGAGACGAAAAAGACTCATCAATATAAAATAAAATTGTATGTGTGAACTTTAATGGTCATCCGTTAAACATCTATACAAGGTCATTTTCATACTATATTAATGTGTGACAAATCTATGCGAATTAAAGAATTTTTTTAATTCTATTTTTCACTATTCTTTAGCGGATACTCGACATATTTTATAATGAATTTATTTCAAAATTTAATCGTAGACTTGTGCTGTTATTATTTTAACTATTATTATTGTTGTTTATATTGAAAGGAAAGAAAAAAAAAGAGAAAAAGTGTTCGCATACATATATATATATATATATACCTACTGAACATTAGAAGATTGACTTACGTCACGATAATGTAAATCGATCTATTTCATTGACGTTATTCAATAAAGTTTAAACAAGAGCAAACAAAAAAAAAAAGACTTGACATATTTCAATTAATTGACACTACAACTACGTAGTAGTACATTAATGAAAAATACGAATACGTTTATGAAATAGTTCCGTCCATTTTACTTTGAGTTTCTATTGAATAAGTTTTTTCTTTTGTAGTATTTATTCGGTTAAATTTTTGCTAAGATATGACGGTCTAAGAAATTAATTGCCTATAAATGTCCGAATACAATAGAGTGGCATTGCATTTCTTTCTTTTTTTTTGTTTTTTATTGTTTCAACATTACAATTCTCGCTTCTTTTTTCTTTCTATTTGGGTCAATTGAGCGAGACACAACATCTTGTAAGCGAACAGCATGTGTATGAATTTAGTTCACACATATATATATATATTTGTGCCTGTCGATTTGGTTGGATGTCTCCTAGTGTCGTCAGCAGGTACAATAAATTGATTAACAGAAGCATCAACAGCACTTGAACGGTTTCGCACGGCGACGCGTCCTTAAAGTAGCACTAGCAAGGTGTCCATCGATCATTTTAGAAAGTAAGAGTTTATGAATGAACATCATATACTTAAGCAAAGAATCTGCATGCGTTCAATGTTAGTCAGTCGGCCGTCTTGTCTTTGTCAAAATTAATCAGCATTGAAAGATGAGTCTATATATCTATGTATTTCCTTCTTTTATTTCTTATTCAGAATATACATTTGAGAGTATGTCTATTCAATAATTTTCGCCTGTCCATCACATATCAATAGTAGACAGTGTGTCGACAAACGAGAAAAAAGAAGAGATATTAGCCGGAACGAAGATTAAAAAGCTTGCCGCTGATATTACGCATTTCAATGTTGAAATAATATGTATATATGAACATGGTGAGTTTGATGATATTTATCTTTGTTTCTAGTCTATTGAGATCAATTTACAAAATAAAATGGTTTTTCTTTCTGTGCTTTCAAATATTAATCTAATATTAAATATTTCTAATAATAAATCAAAAGAAAAACTCGAAAGCTTTTGATTGAATTTAATATTCATTGACTTAGATTCATGTACACGTCTATACACTTGAGACATCTTCTACTCTTAATTCACACATTGTCAATATAGAAAAAAGTATGTTATGTACCTCACGCAAGAAGAACATCCTAACAAAAAGGTCATTGTCTATATCTAAAAATAAACTTCGTTCCTATATTGAACATTAGTCGGAACAATAATGTTTGATCTTATGATGGTATAAGTATCGATGATCAAATTCGTCTATAGCATCGATTTACACAGTAGAGAGAAAAAGAGAGAGAGAGAGAGAGCGGATGTATATAGATATCTTTTGAATTGACGAGCTGATGCACGTCCTTGCATTGATCAAGAGAAAATTAATTGGATGGCACAATTGCTTTTCTAGCACCATACTGAGATACTTTGATACAGTATATAGGTAAATTAGCAGAAAAAAAAAAGAAAAAGAGGAAGTGATCGGCTTTGATCGTTGACTATGTCACAGCTGTATGATGTAAGGGTATAAGATAATCATAAAATCTAAAGAAGAAAAACTCCCTACAAACTGAACAATACGATATAGTTAATAGTCAGTTGTGTTCTAATAAACTATTCTCAATCGACTTCTTTAGTCCGATAAAGTCACGCTACGACAGCTGCATACACATCAGATTCTTTGTTCGTGCGCTTATATCAAATCTTTTCTTTTTCTTATATTTTTTTTTTGTTCTCTCTCGTTCTTATTTTCCTTTTTTTGGGCTCTTCATTCAATCATCTCTCCATCATCATCATCATCGTCGTCGTTCGTTCGTTCGTTTGTTCAATCGATCAGCACTCTTGGGAGATTGAATTGTATGTTGAAATCTTGTATGATTACTACTATAGAGCGCACGCGTTTACTATGGAAATAATCCACTATATTTGTAGTATGAATATGATGTAACTCGACATACAACACAAGTAATGAAGCATTATTGACTATCTTTTTTTTTTTTTACAGTTCTTCCTCCTTTTCTTTTTCTATTTATTTCTTCAATATAAAGTTCTCTTCTACTAGAAATCGATATTTTAAAATCAAACCAGGTATGTGTGAACAATAAAAAAAAGACTTAAGATTAATCATTTCCGAGCTTTATAATTAGTAGTAAACATATGCCGGATGGCATCGTAATTTGAACGCCAAAGGTCGTTTCGAACATCAATAATCAACATGTCAGAGTATGATAGAAACAACTTTGTCTTCATTGAGAACATTTCCTTGAATTTTGAAACAAAAGAAAAATGTCCAATAACCTTGGATTCTTATTAAATAAATGATTGCGAGATTTTTTTATTGTAAATCGGAAAGAAAAGTGAGTATTCTTGTCACTTTTTTTTTTCTTTTTTCTATTCATCGGAAATGACTTGTCAGTTAAAAAAACCGCTTTTCTAGCTTCCATGTATCCATTGTTATGCGGTAAGTACTATTCCATTTGAACTATTTGTTTGGATTTTCTGATAATATTTTGTTATTCTCTTTCTGATCACGAAAGATAACAACATATGTTTCCTTGTGTTCTTCCCTCGAGTGAGCTTTTCCTCATCAGTTGAAATCTCACTATTGCATATCGAGATTGTCACGCTGTGCATCTGTATTTATATGCATAAACGTATCAATCATACAGATGGGCCACCATAGTGAAAATCGATTAAGACAACAGAGCAAGAAAAAAAAGCAGTAGCAGTGTAAATTGAACTGTGTCATCACGGATCATTTTCTTTCTTTTTTTTTTGGTTATTGATCATATTTAGAACGAGAGAGAGAGAGAGAATGATCGGACCGAATAATTTTCATAAAAAATCATTTTTCTTCTACTTGTTATTCTAGATTGAATTTGACAAGTAATTTTTTTTGTTCAGACTCATGTTAATATAACATGATAATCACTTATTATTTTTTTCCATCTCATTTTTCGATTTCTAGGCTAGTTAGCTGTCCTTGACACATAAATAAAAGATGAGTTTGCTTGTCATCGAGATTTGTTTATACAAGAGATCTTTCTCTCTCTCTCTCTTTGTCTTTTCTTTTTTTCTTCGATTGAGATGATCCATTGAACAGTACTGAATGACACGAATAGATCGATCGAATGTTCACTTATTTAAATTAATAACAACGTACGACAACATATCAGTTGATCAAATAAAACATGTGTATACAGTTGATGTTGTTCTTTCCAAGGTCATGCTAATCTATAAGAGAAATAGAGTGAAGGAGATCTATGATATTATTTAATTAAGAAAAGGATATACTGAGTGTTATTCTTCAATAGAACATTATTCCATTAGTCTCAATTTACTTTTTTTTTTTCTTTTTCGTTCTAGACATTTGGTCCTAATGGAATAGAAGCGCAAGTGACTGAATAAGAGAACTTCAAAGTAGAAGAGTGAAATAGATATTTATATATAAAGACGTATGTATGTTTTTGTTGATCATAGGTTATCGTGACGACGGTCACATAAACACTTATTTTCTTTCGTTTATGTATTTGTATTGTTTCAGATCATTCCGACAACAAAAAACTACTTTCATCTTAAAGAAATAATAGGAGGAGGTTAAAGAGAGGATGTGCATTTTCTCTTTTCAGGTGTTGACAGGAAACGAAAAATTCAATAGGTCACATCTGTTCGTCATACTAATTAGAATAGTAGTTCACTTCAAATGAATCGAGATTATCTACTTGACTAAAAAGAATGTGAAAGAGGTCATTGAAATTCTATTCCAATATTCTTCTTTTTTTTTTTTACTTTTCTAGATAAAATAAATTATGATTAATATAATCATATTTTTTTTCATTTTTCCATTAATCTATTCAAATCATCATCTACATTCATTACCATCAATTATAATCGATCCAAATAATTATTCTGAATCGGATATAATTCTTCATAATTTTCAACATCAATTTCATTCAACATATTCCTATCGTTGTTTATTACAAACTGAATCAAAATATTTTTATCTTGATTCATCATGTCAATTATTAACACGTTTATCATTAAAAGAAATATGTCCACTTAATTATACATTAAAATTAGAAATTGTTTTTCCACAAAATACAACAATATATGAATTAATAATTGAATTAAAATATAAAAATTCATTTCAATTTAATATTAAAAATAATCAAAAAATTATTAATTTACCATTCTATTGTAATAATAAAAATGATATTAATATTGAAAATAATAAAAATAATGAATTTTTTATTGGTAATGCACATATATTATTAAATAAAGATTATGAAGAAAAATTATGTCAATTTGAAAAAAATCCTTATCGTATTAAATTAAATGAAAATGAATTGTATGAAAATTTTTTACAAATTAAAACAATATCAATATGTTCAGCAACAAATTATTTATTAGCATCATCAAATTCAAAACGAAATTTTGATTATTTTACATTAAATTCTTCAACAGGTTATTTAAATTTAATACGTCCATTAGATTATGAAACAATAACAACATGGAAATTAGTTATACAAGGTCATGATAAATCTTCAATACCATTTTATACATATGTTATTATTGATGTTGATGATATAAATGATTGTCCACCATTACTATCATGGAATTTTCCATTACAAACAATTGAAATTCTTAATGATACAGATTTATTTAATATTGAAATAGCTATACATGAATCAAAAGTTGAACAAAATAATGTTATTATTGCAAATTTAATTGCATCTGATTTAGATACATCATCAAATATAGATAATCAAGTTAAATTTCAATTAATTATTAATTCAACTGATTTATTACCATTTGAAATTCATGGACCATTTGCTGATTCAACATTTGTTTTATCAACAAATCATAAACTTGATCGTGAATATCATGATAAATATATATTAAATTTAATTTTAACTGATAATGGACAACCGAAATTATCATCATATTATAAATTATTTATTTATTTAATAGATGATAATGATAATTTACCTATATTTGATAAATCTATTTATTATGTTGATATACAAGAAAATAATTTAATTAATACAATATTATTACAAGTTTATGCTAATGATTCTGATTTAGATGATAATGGATATGTTACCTATGAATTAGATGATATTAATAATAAATATGTTACAATTGATAGTCAAACAGGAATTATAAAAACAAAAATTCAATATGATTATGAACAAATTAAAAATTTTACATTTAATATTACAGCTATAGATCATCCTAATAAAGGAAAACAATTTAAAACAACAGCTATGATTTCAGTTAAGATTATTAATCAAAATGATAATATTCCGAAAGTAAGTTAAAATAGATTATTATGTATATTTTAATTATGAATAAAAAAAATTTCTAATAATATAAGACTGTGTATTGTAACTTATAAACATTAAACATGTTCAGATCAAATTAAAGTAAAGTAGAAAATATCTATAGAGCATATGGACGTCCAATTTTTTTTTTTTTTATGTCAAATCACATTATTCTCTAAGATACATTAGTTTCTACTAATCAGAATAAATGACTGACAAAAAAAACAAAGATAACAAAATGTAAAAAAGAATTTCTGATGAAAAAACTTTGAGGAGAAGAATCTTATCCTAAAATTTTCTTAAATAAATTTTTGCTTGAAAAAGTAAATAAAATATACGCCATTCACTTCAGTTTTGAAAGTTGATTCTGAATATGTCATTTGTCTATTTATTAAAAATCTATTTCTTATCAAGAGAAACTTGATTTTACCAAAAAAGAAAATATTGTTGATATGACTGTTCGAAAAATTAATAGTGAAAAGAGGCTTTTCTTGCTTTGGAACCCTAAGTGATCATTTAACCCTTTTTTTTTTTTTTATTAATCGATAATGGACACATCATGTAAATTAAAAATATGAGTTTGAAAGTATTTACAATGAAGATTGTCTGGCAACAATATAAAATTTCAAGAGGATTTTTTTTTTTGTGCTTGGATAGAATTCATCGAATTACATAAAAATGCATTTCTTTTAATTATTTGTCAAACATAGTTTTCTTTTATATAACACGACCAGCTCTATTCAACCATGAAAAAACAAAAAGAAAAAATTCTGTTGAAACTTTTTTTTTTTATTACTATGTAACGTAGAGTCTAGATTCCGTCAAATTCGAATATCTTACTTCGTGCCAGAGCTGGAACCGGTCCGGCAAACCGGTACCGGACCGGTTGAAAAAGCGAACCGGGCGGGGTGGAACCGGACTTTCAGCGGTGTGAGTTGCTGAGAGAGAATGGTTGCNGAGCAAACTTTAATCACATTTCATCAAGAATTATAGTTCTCTGAAATATACGTTGAAAATCATAGTTCAAAGCCGAACTTTTTTCAACAATCTACATCGAAAACACAGAAGCATTACTTGTATTCATATCAGTACCTATTCAGTTTGCCGGAAATTCACCGGTTCAAGAACAACTTATAAACGGCCGTTTTCCGGCCGGACCGGACCGGTTGAATTTTTCAACCGCCCGGACCGGACTGTTTTCAAAATTTCTTACCGGTTCCAGCTCTGCTTCGTGCATATCATTAGTTCATATTTGAACTTGATAAACATGCAATTCCAATCTTTGATTGTAAGCGAAAATAATCTTTATATAAGTTTTTCTGTTTGGAGAATTAAAGTCTGTATTATACTGTGTACAGAAAATCATTGGACAAAAAAGGAATTTGAATATTTTCGTCACATTTTAATTAAAAAAGAAATAATGTCAACAATTGTTTTTAAGTATTTACAAATGATTTTATAAAAGAACTGTAACTTTTCACAAATTATGAATAACTACAATAAATTCTTACTGTAAACGGTTAAAACTTTCAAGATACACTTAATAGCCTACAGTATGTTTAGTATAAATATGTAACGCAACGATATTAGAGTGGAAAATTAATCAAAAACATTCGATACTGTGTTGATTCTTGATTACGGAAATGAATATTTTGTTGTTTTTTTATGACTTGTGAAAAGTTGTAATTCGTTGTTCAAAAATCTATTGCAAAAATACTTCTTTAAACATTCGTTTATCGTTGGTAAAAATTGAAAACTTATTTAATCAAAATATCATATAACTATTCAAATTTCTTTTTTTTTCTAGTAATTTTCTGTACATCCTATTGATTACTGTTTGGATTAGTTAATTTCATAGATGTTTGAGTGTAATTCAAGAGAATATAAATTATTTATGATTAATTTATATGCAGTAGCTTAAATAAATCTTACCTTTTTTTTTTGTTGATGAATATGTTCATATTAGTTTCAAACTCAACTAATCTGAACTTCATAGATCATCAGCATATACAAAAAAAATTCCATATTTTGTAAGTTGAGAGTTAACGTCATTATTTCAAACGGACACGAGGAAAATAGATTTAAGATATTTTAGTTTTTCTTAAGGACCTATTTATCTCCTCTTTATTCAGAGTTGTCACGTAGGTCTTTATGTGCAAGAGTTTCATGCTAAGTTTAGTTATAAGTTCGTTAAGAATTATAGATCTTTATATAATTTTATTTAATTGTTAAATGACGATATTATAAGGTAGGCCATAAAAAAATGACTTCTATTACAAAAAGTACTTTGTGCATTGGTAACGTTCAATTTTCAAATCAATACTCGTTGTAATAGATACAGCTGAGAAAATTTATTAAATAAAATTGATTTCATTTTGAAAACATTTTATTGTAGATAGAGACAAAAGAAAAAGAAATTTATTAAAAATGAATTCTATTCCAGAATAAAATCATTCTTGGTATTTTTTGATCTTATTTTATAATAACAATTGAATATATCGATACAGAAACAGTATAATGATCGGAAATTTTCAAGCTATATTTCTACGTAGATGCTTACAACTTAATTATACATGTAAATTATTTTGAATAACTATTAAGTTTGTTACGTTTTATTAAAATGCTAATACAATAGTAGTGTTGCATATTTTACCATAAGGCAATGTACCATACTAATTTGGTTATTTTATCACTTGAATTCATTTTAATTTACAGTCGAATATATGCCATAAATAAAATGTTTCAATTACTACAGTAAAATATATAAATTATTGATAAGTCTTAATTTCAGAATAAGAGATAAAATACAGTATAATCAAGAGGCATGTAATAATAATTATAACCAAACTTGAATAACTATGTTAAAACGAAAACTTGTTTTTTTAATACTATAAATGATAGAATTTATTTATATCAGTATTTTGTTTAATATAACTTTTCTATTATTGTTCATTTCTAGTTTCCTCAATCAACATATGAATTTTCAATTTATGAAAATAATTCTCCAAATAGTTATATTGGTCAAGTAATTGCTTATGATATTGATAATTCTTCACTTACATATTCTCTTGATAATCCATCTAATGAAATTTCTTCTCTTTTTCAAATTTCATCATCTGATGGTAAAATTTATGCACTTAATCCATTGGATCGTGAACAAACTGATCATCATATATTTTATATAATTGCATCCGATGGTCATTATAAATCATCGCGTATTCAAATTCATATAAATATTCTTGATTTAAATGATGAAATACCTCGTTTTATATTTCCAAATGATCATAATGATACATTAATTATTGATCGTACATATTGGCATATTAATGATTATATATGTCAGATAGATGTACAAGATCATGATCAAATACCAAATCATACATTAATGCTTGTTCATCAACTTAATCAATTAAAAAATTATGATTATTTAGCTGAACAAAAATCTTCATTAAAATTTGATTCATCTAAATTTTATCTTGATGATCAAGCAAGATTGTTTTTTAATTCAACAAATAATACAATATTAAATGAAGGTGTTTATTATTTAGCATTTAAAGTAAGAACAAAAGAAATAAAATCATTTTTTGTTGTTGAATTCACATATATATTTATTACATAACTTAGCCGCCGAGGACAACAGACGTTAGATAGTTTTCTCAGAGTTTCTTAACAACGGAAAAAAAACAAAAATGCTGAACGGCAAGACTTAGACTATTCTAAAACATTCTAAAGTCATCCTCGAAATTTTGATGGCTAGAATACATTTACGAATGTTTTACATAGTACAGGTTTTGATTTTTGTGCAGATAAAATAGTTAAGGATGATGAATAGTAATGCATTGATTTGCCATAATCGTCATATGATAAACATTAATAAAAGCATAGACTTATCAAGTTATTAGTTTAGGAAATAATCAATATCAATGTTTGTGAGCTTATCGAGATATATAATAATGTGTTGAAACCTCAAGGATATATAATAGATATTTACAACGAGCTTATTTGTCAGTTCAATAAATGATTAGAATAATAATAAAAATGAAATATGAAAAAGCAAAATAACCAGCGAATCTATCAACAAGACAAACAAAAATTAGAAAAAAATTCTGTTCAAAATGCAGAAATAAATAAGAGGAGTCGCTTCTCTGATGATCACTCCTCATTTTAACCTTAGAGGCGGCTATGTTAAAAATTATTTTTTAGTTTATAACTTTATATTTTTTTTTCTCTCAACTTTAAAGATTATTGATGGTCAAAATTATTTTGATGAAAAATTATTAAAATTAATTGTTGTTGATAATTATGAACGTGTACAAACAATTGTTAAACAATATGATTATCTTGGTTCACATTTAAATAATCGTTTTTCATATTTACAATATCGTTCAAATAATAATAATAATAATAATCATCATTTATACCAATCACGTCATTCATATTCATCATCATCATCATCATCATTAGATCAATCAAATAAATTTCTTGTTTTTATTATTATAACTGTATTAAGTATTATACTTATTGGTATAACATTTATATTTATATCATTAATAAAACGTAAATCATTTCAACAAAAAGAATTATTAAAAAAACAAGATTCATTATCAACATCATCTGGTACACAACAACAATCTGATTCTTCAACAATGAATTTATTTAAATCACCAACATCAAATAATAATGATAAAAGACAAAATTTACGTGTTAGCAATTGTTATGAATATAGTAATATGTCATCACCATCATCATTACTCGTATTAAATAAAGGTTCAATAACACCAACATCATTAATTAATGATAATTGTTGTCTATTAGAAAAATTAAATGAAAAAGAACTTTATGATGAACAAAGAACTAAGGTAAGAGTTTTTAATTATATTCATCGATTAGAGAATATATTTAACTGTAGGATGCTGTTCAATTTTATATTATGACTACAAATAGGTTCCTATAAGACTAAGAAAACTTTAAACAATTCAGGTTTATCGTCTACTGATAGATTTTACTAAGAGTAAAGCATTTTCGAAAAACTCAAATCAATGAGTTTTGACCTGAAATTTTGGAATGAGTTACCAGAAGTTGATACAGTAATCGAATAGGAAAATTTTCAGATCAAAACTCTTTCTTTTTGATTTTTCAAATATGCCTTGCTTTCACTAAATAAATCCATTGAAAAAAGTCATAACTCTTCATTAGTAGACCATAAGTTTGAATCCTTTCAAGTTTTTCTTAGTCTTACAGCGCCCTATTTATAGCTTTAGTATGAAATTGAACAGCTTCCAACAGTTGAATATATTCTCTTGTTAGTGAAAAGCATTACATATATTTTTCGCAGGATTAATGTGAAGATGCTGAACTTCACTGACGAGGGAACATTCCCAGGTGTTGGAGCGATTTTGAGTCGGGACTTTGCGCCTCTTGTAGGCCTTGATGAATTATGTCTACCGTAAAAAAAAGTTCGTGCCTCTAGCTTGTTCCTAGTGAGATATCGAGGTTTTAGTGAATTTTTCCTATAAGACCCCACATTTGCAGCAAGGCCATATTTTTGAATTTTGATCTGAAACTTTGCCCATATTAACATCTCAGCTAGACTAGTTTGCATAAAAAATTTCAGAGCTTTTGGACAAAGTCTCTCTGAGATATGCAGCTTTCAACGTATAAGCCGTTTTCCATAGATTGCGTATAAAGCATGCATTTTTTGAAAGCTTCATATCTCGGAGAGACTTTGTCCAAAAGCTCTGAAATTTTTTATGCAAACTAGTCTAGCTGAGATGTTTATATGGGCAAAGTTTCAGGTCAAAATTCAAAAATATGGCCTTGCTGCCAATGTGGGGTCTTATAGAAAAAATTCACTAAAACCTCGATATCTCACTAGGAACAAGCTAGGGGCACGAGCTTTTTTACGGTAGACATAATTCATCAAGGCCTACAAGAGGCGCAAAGTCCTGACTCAAAATCGCTCCAACACCTGGGAATGTTCCCTCGTGAGTAATTCTAAATTGAAAATGAAAAAAAAAGATGATAGCTGATGAGTTATCGAAACATTTCAAAGATCTCCAATTTTTTTATCAATACAGTTATATCTATTATATCAGTTTGTGGCATAGCGAATGATATCGTCTGTATTTCGTGTTTTTCTTTTTCAATTGTTATTATGGAAACATACAATTAGTCTCAAAGGATATTTAGTTTAATTTTCTATATAGTGATATATTTTAATATAGCAAATGAAATTGTCTTCATTTTTTAATGATTGATTGATTTGTTAACAGCATTTCTTACAGCTATCCAAGATGTAGATTTTAAAAAAAAATCTTTTTTACGTCACTGTTTAATGGTCTAATAAGCTTACATCCTCTTTTGACGACATCACCTCAGTACATTACTCGAGTAATATCACTTTATAAATCATATTTATAAAAATGAACATTCGTACCGATACTGAATTTAAGCTTGTTAGACAATTCAAAAGTAAGATAAAAAAGTTTTGAAGACTATTTTGAACACATCTATTAATCATTACACATAAACCATTTTGTAGCGAGAATTAAGTCAACCATCTTTTTAGACTCATCATATGTTCCCACAAAAAAAATCTGATATAAAACAATAATACTAAATACAAACGTCATCATTCTTTATGCCACGCACGATAGTTCTTAAAAGTAAAATATTAATTGAAGAATTTTGCTTGTATTTAAATTTTTCAAAGACATGATGTATTATTTCATTCATACTTGTTTCATTTTGCATTTGACGATCAGTAGCTAATGAAGAGAATATAAAATCTCTATTTCAAATTATTATAAATAAAGAAATTATTAATAATTATTTCTTTTTCTTAGGCATATTCATCATGGATATTATCAACATCGAATCGTCCTGATTCTCGTTATTCTCAACGTAGTAATGATTCATCAACATTTCATTCACTTAATCGTCTTTCTATTCCACCACAAATACATTCAACAACAAATTTATCTCAACAATTATGTTCACCTAAACGACATTCAACAACAACATATGAATCATCAACAACAGCATCAACAAATAATTCAAATCTTCCACCGTCATCAACACCAACAGAATATACAGTTGCTATTGTTTCATCATCATCAACAAATAATTCTCCACATACACCTGTTAGTTCAGATGATGGTTTTTGTGGTTCATCAGATATATCAGATCCACCAATAAATAGTGGAAGTAATAGTTTAATATCATCACATCCCCATCATACCTATCGTCAACCATATACAATGATGAAAGAAGGTATTATACTTAAAAGTCAACATTCACCATCATTTACAACATTAATTAATCGTTTTAATGATTCGACAGTAACAACAAATGGAACAGATACAACACGACGTGTTCGATTTAATCTTGAACCTGAAGGAAAACATCAACAAAGGACTATTTTACCATTACCAACATCAAATTCACCAGATCGATTAGCTGATCATGCTTTAAGACGATTTGAACAATTGTATATGAGTCGAGATAATGTTTTAGATAAACACTCGGTCGATTCGACAGTATTATATACAAATTCGACAGTCGTCTAGTCTTCTGTTTTTGCAGTATTTTTTTTTCTTTTATATATATATATGAATATATGTTTGTGCATAAATGCCCGCCGTCTGTTCTTCCTATTTTTTGTTTTTGTTTTTATATTGTGGAATGGCTCAGATGTTGTTCATTTTTTTCTTTTTCTTTGTTCTTTTCCTATCTGTTTCTGTTTTAAATAATAACAGAAAGGAGAAAAGTAATTTAAAAAATACGAGTTCATTGATCAAGAGATTATCTTACTAAATTTTGACTTTGAAAAGTCGTACATAAACTTAGATGATATAGAAAAAACGAATGTTTATCGATTTGATAACTATAAAACATCTAAATAATCAATTTTAGCTATGACATTGATAAATCTCTTTGAAATTTAATTATGTATGAATTAATAAATTGAGATTATTCTAAGTATAAATATTTTTCGAAGAAAATCATTTTTTTTTTAAAATAACTTAATTATGTTTTGTATATATCTCAAAAACTAGATGAGATTAGAATAATCTGATTTTTGTTAGATCACAGCTAGTAAGAAATTTCATGTCAATGCATTGATCTGTCTAGTGTTTTTATTGACGATACAATCACAGCATAGTATTTTGCATCTTTACAAGATCATCCAAACATTGTTTTTTTTTTCCAAACTATTACAAGCCTGTTCTAGATTGCAACTTTCTTTATGATACATTATACATAAGAACGAATAGTGTTCTACGTACGAAGTATTTTTTATTGTAGCTTTTATTTGAGTAAAGGTTCAAAAACAATGTTTGTTTGACCTATACCGGATATAGTCAACAAAAAAGTGCAAAAAGATACTTTTTCTGCATATGATATTTAGTTCACGTAATTACTCAATATATCATTCGAAAGAGCACTGCAAATTGCACGAACTATTCTATTTGAATAGATATTTCATGTTGGAACATTATACTAGTCGTCTTCTATTTATATACCAATCACGTATAGATCTTGGTCTACGATTTCATTTACATATTAAAGAAGATATCAAAAAATTTTTTTAACAGCAAAAATTTACCGTAATCTCAGTAACAACATAAGTGTAGATCTTACTAAATACATAGCTAATTTTTTGCGTATCATATCTATGTTGGTAGAGAATGAAATTTAGAATAACATGCTATGTTCAGTTGCACTTGTATAATAAGTTTTGATTTCTAATATGCCAGTTTTGCATGGGAAAAGATTCCCCATAAATTTCTGCTGTGAAAACAATTTTTAATACTTTCTTCAATGCATAAAATCAGACCGTACAAGAAATTCTATCTGTGATTGATGTATACATAAGAGACAATAAACATGATTTTCTCAACATGAAATATTTATTCAAATAGAATAATTCGTGAAATTTTGAATGTTTTTTTTTCTTCTAATGATTTATTGAACAGTAAACATCATATGAAAATAAATGTCTTTATCAACTATTTGTTGACAATTTTCGGCTTGAATTCAACAAACATTGTTTTTGAATCTTTATTCAAAGAAGAGCTAAGATAAAAATGACGATGCATGTAGAGCACAATTTGTTTTATTGAATCATGGATCATAAAAAATATTTTAACTTAGAATAGGCTTACAACAGGTGGCAAAAACAATTGGTTGGATAATTTTGTAAGGATGATAAATGGGCATGCTGTGATTGTATCGTCAATACAAAATTAAACAAATTAATGAATTGATGTGAAATTTTTTTTTTACTAGAATATATGAGACTATAAACTATAATCTGACGAAAACCATCTTATTCTAATTTATCGAATTATTGAGATATACACATAACAGAGTAACATTATGTGCTGGTTGGATATCTGGTTTATTGTGAAGCAAATTTTTCTCTGCAAATTGGTATTTACAAAGACTTATAGTTTGGAATGAGACAGTTTTGGTCAACATACAAAACTGAGCTACATCGAAAAACTCTGTAGAGACAACGTTTTTGACCGCGGTCAGAGATTTGCACTGAATTAACTTTAAAAAAAGCCAAAAAAAAGTTCGAAATAGTATGACATTATGATTCTAGGCGATTATTTCTGATTCTCTCTGATCACTTATCAATAGACAAAATGTTGACGTGACATGTTGTGCAAATACTTTTTACATATAGATTAGAACAAAAAAGAATAATAACAATAATAATATGTTAGCATATTGATAACTAAACTCCAAAAAGATTTTCTTTTCGTTAAAATAATAAATTTATTATATAGTTTTTGAATTACATATCTTAAAAAACAAAAGTTCCTTTTTATTCATTCTTTACTAATGTATTCAAAAAGAGAATATTTATGTATTAATTAAATTCAAAGATAAGAAACTATTTTCATTTTTTTTTCTTACGCGCAAAATCTCCATCTACATTAGTTTTGTCACTAAGCGTGTATGTTTTATCTTTTACATTTTTTCTTTTTTACATTATTGTCTGTATGTGTTGTAAGAAAGAAAAGGTAAATAGTAAAACGACACAATAATTATTTTTCAAAAATATGATCAAAGCTATACTTGTATTTAATACTCGTGGTCAAGCACGTGCATTAAAATTTTTTGAATCATGTTCAACTGAAGCACAACAAAAAATGGTTCGTGAATCGTATCAAATAATATCAAAACGCGATGCTAATGCATGTAATTTTATTGAATACAATGATTACAAATTAATATATCGTCATTATGCAACACTTTATTTTGTATTTGTTGTTGATTCAACTGAATCCGAATATGATATTTATGAATTAATTCATACATTTGTACAATGTTTAGATCAATATTTTGAGAATGTATGTGAACTTGATTTAATATTTCATTCTGATAAAGTTAATTATATATTAAATGAATTTTTTACGGGTGGTTTTATGACTGAACGTAATCCTGATTTAGTTTTAAATGATTTACGAGCTCAAGTACGTTTAGAACGACAAGAATCAGGTGTTTTGACACAAATGGGATCAAAAATAAAATCTGTTGTTGATACAAAAACAGAAAAAATGAAAATAGATGTGGAGAAAAAGTTTGATATTAAATTATCATAATAGAAAAAATTTTTAATTTATTTTATTCTTTGTTTTTGTTTTGTATTTGGATGTGTAAATTCCATAATTAAAATAAGATATATAATTGGAACAAGAATAAGAGCAAAAACTGATGTAAGACTTAAAGATAATAAAATAAAATATGTTTTTCGATCAGGTTTCATCTAAAAGACTGTTGCTATATCACGTTCATCATAAAATCAAGGATACATTTCACCAATCCATAAAAGAGCAAAAATATTTTCTTTTTAAATAAACGAATTATTAAATTTACAATAATTGATTGATTATCATCAATTGGTTTTTTGTGTAATAACAGTCATATGAATGATATCTTCATTTTCTACAGTGACATTATATCGAACAACGAAATCACGTACACATTCAACATGGTGTATAATTAGTACAATTCAATAAAAGTATACAATTTTCTATTAAGCAAGTCGTTTCTATCATTTTATTATAATCGATATGTCGATTTTTTTGACAACTACAAGTTAATCCTTCAATTAGTTTTATTTGAATTAATGTGAATAGAAATATGTACATATATGAACACGGTATCATTATCATCATCGTCATTTGTTGGTATTACAAGAAAAAAATGAGATATTATTAAACTTGAAATTTTACTTTCTTTTTTTATCAATGATTAGATTGTTTTTTTTTGCGAAGATAGAACAGATGCAGAAAGTAGGAGGCTTTTAAAAAGCGAAATACGCCTTCTGTCGCAATTCGATTTTGTCTTTCTATTTTTGTCACACCCTAACTATCAGATATCGATTACCTTAGAAATTACACAATTTCGTCTACTTCAAATTATACTACGATCGATTTGGCCACGCCTACTATGTCCGTACTATATAACTTCAAAAAAAGTAGAAAGGATGTGGAGCCTTTCTATGATGAAAAATGGTACACATTGCTTGGTGAGCTTAGTTGGCTCATGTATCAAATTGAAGCTCATTTGTTCTTCTATCGAGTTCCATATGAACATGTATAAAAAAGTTGATCCATGGCTTTCTTTGTTGTTGTTCATCTCCTTTTATTCATGATATTGTGAATACTGTACAGAAATTGAAATCGAGTCGAATTATTTGATAATTTGATTTGATTCATTTTGGGTCTCTGACCTTGAATCTTTATGTTTGTTATATAATAGTTTTGTACACTCCATGGACGTCAAGCACTTTTTTTTAATTATTCATTTCATATCTGCTGGAAAATATGTGATAAGATTTACTAACATAATTATATTGTAAATGATTCTTGTATAAAGAGTATGTCTATGATATTTAATACTGTACCTCATATCATGGACGGCGGAAGGATTTAAATTTAGGGGAGGCTCAAAAATTTTTTCTAGACAATGATAAGTGGTGAAATGAACAAGGGACAAAATTCTAGTTTTATGATGTTCCTTTTAATTTAAACGCATTTCTAGGGCTTTTCGTTTCGAAATTTGGACCATAATGAAAAATTTCACTTCAATGCCAACTTTCCCAGTGGATGATCAGCATGTTCATAAAAACCTTGAATTTAATCTAAAGTAAATAAAATAAACCGAACTGAAAAACACATCAGTCACTGCTAAAAAGCTTTTCAACTATATTTTTAAAATGAAATAAGGGTAGATATTGTTCTATTCCATTGAATCTGATGTTTCCTTATATGAGGGATGCTGGTCTGATTAAAAATGATCAACTAGTACAGGATGTTCCAAAAAACATTACCACTTATCAAATACGTTTCACTTCGCTACTAATCAAATTTAATCTGAAACTTTTCTTATCTGAAAGGGTAGCTTACTAATTTTTTATTCGTAAAGACCAAGTTCATCAACAACGTAGTAAAAGTAGGAGTTTTGGCTAAAAATACCATTCGATTTTTCTTGTCAAAAACAATATGGAGTGATCCTTTTGATTTTTCCCAGGAGATTGAATCCGAACGTC